ATTACAACCAGCATATTTACTTTACACGACTCTTCAAGGTGTATCAAGTCTAGCAGAAATTATGGGAGATTTTATAAACAGTAACTAATAGTCAATAATGAAGTAAATTGAACAAAGTGGTCTAATCACCACATGCCTCAATTTTATACAATACAATGGCCTCATTCCTCCAATTTAAATACAAAGCCACTGATTGTTAGTGATACTATGTTAAACCAGCACTGTTCATTGTTTATTCAGTTATTGCTGCTTTTTGCAAATAGCGACACCTCCAGTTTTCCAACAACAATACTAAGTCACTATCTGTACTCAAGACAGCTTAATAGATTCTCAGATAAATTAACTTCCAACAGCCAACACTGTAATTATCCTTCAGTCTGATAATTGTACATACTGCACTTAGGTGATCATCACCCATTTTATTTTGGGGGGGAAATATAACATTTTAAAGTAAACAGCTGGATTGTTAGCTTAGATGAAGACTAGCAATAACAGTGCACTGACATTTCAGTCTACTTTACGGATCCCAGTTCAGTCTTTCTAAGTAATCTTATCAAAAGTGTCAGTTTGATAACGGAACTGCCCGCTCGTTTGTGATTAAAGCCACGGTGCTCTTTGTTGCCTGGCAGCCTGCGCTCACTGGGCTGTGAGAAGTCAGTGGAATTCTAATGGGACTTGCATTCTTTGGGTACAATCCTTGCATTTTCAGCACTCGTTCAGGTAAGAAGGCATACGAAAGTATTCCTTTTCCTCCGTGTTTAAAAACTGAACTTTGCTAGTAGCCAACTACTTTGTTTGTTTCATTCTTTCCTTATTGGTAAACTTTGATCATATGATCTTAAATATGAAATTGGTATTATTTTGTTCTCATTCTTCCATTCAAATGTATCTTTGTACTGGTTTACTCCAAGGAATTTCTGACCAGAGACGATTTTGCTTAGTGTACACAGGAGGTTGCAGCCCAGATTTAGGACTGGTAGTACTATAAGCGAAAATAAACATCGGTTTGCTAAATTACATCATCTTGCACAATAAAGATTACTCAGAAGCATCTACAGCAGAGGTGGGCAAACTACGGCCCGCGGGCCAAATCCGGACCCGTGGGACCGTCCTGCCCGGCCCTTGAGCTCCCGGCCAGGGAGGCTAGCCCCCGGCCCCTCCCCTGCTGTCTCCCCTCTCCCGCAGCCTCAGCTCGCCGTGCCGCCAGCGCTCTGGGCGGCGGGGCTGTGAGCTCCTGCCGGGCAGCGCTGCGGTGGGGTTGGCTCCAGCCAGGCGGCACGGCTGCCAGTCCTGGTGCTCTGAGCGGCATGGTAAGGGGGTGGGGAGCGGGGAGTTGGATAAGGGGCAGGAGGTCCTGGGGGGCAGTCAGGGGACAGGGAACAGGGGGCAGTTGGATGGGGCGGAGCTGTCGGGGACAGGGAGCGGGGGCCGGGTTGGATAGGTGTGGGAGTCCCAGGGGGCCTGTCAGGGGGCAGGGGGTGTGGATAGGGGTTGGGGCAGTCAGGGGGACAGGGAGTGGGGTGGGGAGAGGGGTTGGATAGGAGGTTGGGTCCCGGGGGGGCAGTTAGGGGCGGGGGATTCAGGAGGGGGAGGTCAGGAGACAAGGAGTAGGGGGGGTTGGATGGGTCGGGGGTTCTGATGGGGGCAGTCGGGGGGGGGGGGAATGAGAGGGGGCGGATAGGGGGCGGGGGCCAGGCTGTTTGGGGAGGCACAGCCTTCCCTACCCGGCCCTCCATACAGTTTTGCAACCCCGATGTGGCCCTCAGGCCAAAAAGTTTGCCCACCCCGATCTACTGAGTCATATTAGTAGAAGTTAACGATTATTCAATACAACCAATTTACGCTCTCCCTAGGCTGCAACAGTGCCAGACATCATGCCTTCAAACACGTTAATTTCCATCTTTAACAAGTGTAATGAGGATTTTTTTTCAATTGTGCTTTGCTGACTGAACTGAGTTGACAATTGAACAACATACCCTGTTTGGCCCATCAAGACATGGCCTTGAAGAGGTAATGCACATGTTAGAACTAGGGCTATCAATTAATCGCAGTTAACGCAAGTGATTGATGCAAAACAACTTAACTAGATTAAAAAATAGTTGTGATTAATGGCAGTTTTAGTCGCACTGTTAAAAATAATAGAATACCAATTTAGATGTATTATAAATATTTTTGGATATTTTTCTACATTTTCAAATATATTGATTTCAGTTACAACACAGAATACAAAATATTTGCACTGTAAAAAAGATAAACCAAATAGTCCTACTTCTTGTTCAGCCAAGTTTGTTTACATTTGCAGGAGATAATGCTACCGGCTTCTTATTTACAATGTCGCCTGAAAGTGAGAACGGGCATTCGCATGGCACTGTTGTAGCCAGTGTTGCAAGGTATTTATGTGCCAGATAGGCTAAACATTTGTATGCCCCTTCATGCTTTGACCTGTAGGCTCTGAAGTTTTAGTGCAGTTATGTTAAAAAAATAATTCTACCTTTTTAAGTTGCACTTTCAGGCTAAAGAGATTGCACTACAGTACTTGTATGAGGTTGTGATGGGGGCATCTGCCCCACACTGGTCCATAAGGGGTTTATAGAGCCCTAGGGAGGCAGCCAATTAAAGAGGGGCTACAAGGAGCAGCCAGTCAGTGCTGGGCTGGCCCATATAAGATGGGCTGTGGAATAGAGCAGTTTCAGTCACCCCCTGGAGCTTGAGGAGGGAGGACAGGCTGCCTTGCAGGCTGAAGGCAGCAAGCACCCTGGACAGAGCAGTGCTGCGAGCAGAGACCCAGGGAGCTAAAGGCAGCTCCTGGTTGGCTGCAGGGATCTGTAGGCTGAGGCTCTGAGCCACAAGCAAAGAGGGTGCTGGGGCTGCGGGGAAATGGCCCAGGAAGATCTACAGAGGAGTCGGAGGGGGCTCTGCAAGCAGCGCCATCTACAGGGTCGCTGGGCCGGGAGCCAGAGTAGTGGGCGGGCCCGGGTTCTCCTCCCCGCAGCCCCACTCGCCACTCAGGAAGTGGCTGGACTGTCGGACTGCAACATTCCCTCAGAAGGGGGAAGCACACAGTGCGGCACGGCCGGAGGGCTGTGTCACTGAGAGGACACCGCGGTCCTGGGAGTGACACGGGTCCCAGAGCAGAAGTGATGGTGGCGAGGCACCGCCAGAAGATGTACTGGCGAGCAGAGCTAATTCCCACAACAGCCAGCAGGAGGCACCAGAGTGGTGAGTCCCACCCCGTCACAGAGGTGAATTGAAAAATGCTATTTCTTTTGTTTAGCTTTTTTACACTGCAAATATTTGTAATAAAAATAATAATATAAAGAGAGCGCTGTACACTTTGTATTCTGTGTTGTAATTGAAATCAATATATTTGAAAATGTAGAAAAACATCCACAAATATTTATAATAAATGTCCATTGGTTTTCTATGATTGTTTAACAGTGAAATTAAAACTGTGATTAAGAATGACTATTTTTGTTAATCTTGCGATTAATTGCGATTATTATTTTTTATCGTTAGAACGTTAGCAAGGCCTAAAGTACTGCAGAGATCTTAGCCTGCGTCTTGTGATGCCGGTGAAGAGCTAGACTCAGAAAATCCTTTGCAGTGTGCAGCAACACTACTGAACCTGCCGACTTATGAACAACCTATTCTTGAGGCCCATAGCTCGTACACGGAAAGAGCACCAGCTGCACACACATAGATAGATATATTGCTTTTCATATGATTCTCTTCCTTACTACCCCTTGCCAATGTATGCAGAAGAGGACAGGATTTGCCATTACGCTGCAAACATAGCTTGGCTCAGACTGGAATGGAACTTGGCATAAACTGCTTGGTATTTTCCGCCCTCCTCATCCTTTTTTTGACTTTTCCATCTGTCTTGATATCTGCAGGGCCAGCTCTGTTTTTGCCGCCCCAAGCAGCGCGCCGAATTGCCACTGCGGATGGCGGGGGCAGTCCGTGTGCTGTTAGGGCGGCACACGCGTTTCCACTTCAGCTGGAAGACAGAAGCCGCCGAATTGCCCCTGTGGGCAGCTGAACATAGAAGCTGCCACCAAATTGCCACCGCCGCGGAAACGCGCGTGCCGCCCTAACGGCACACAGACTGCTCCCGCCATCCGCAGCGGCAATTCAGCACGCTGCTTGGAGCGGCAAAAACACATGGACTGCCGCCCCTTGCAGATTGCTGCCCCAAGCACCTGCTTGGAATGCTGGTGCCTGGAGCCGGCCCTGGATATCTGCACTTTGCAGCATAGCCGAGGCTGGGGAGACTACAGGATCTAAACTTAAAAAGTTTAAGACTTCAGAACTCACACCCTGACACTGCATGCTGGTGAGCACACTGACTCGCTCTAACGCTGAGTTTAATGCTTTGTTAACTGAACCCTCTTGCTGTAGACAGAGAACATCTGGACGTTATGGATCACCACAAGGCGTGTTGTTTCCAAAACAAGGGTCAAATGCTTTCTTAGAAACTGAATGCCCCTCCCACTGCATTGGGAGCATTTAGCATATCAAATTGTAAGTTTATATTGAATTACAGCATTCAATAAGTGGCTTTTCTATGGGGAGGCACGTACTGTGCGGCATTATTCAGACGAGGAGACCGAATTGTTTATCATCAAAAAGGGTTATTAATTCAGCTCTGTTTTTGCTTCATGGACCAAAGCTGATTCATGTGAATTTATTGTTAAATATTTGCCAGATAATTTTTAAGCTGTTGGTTCTTTACAACTTTGTTTTTCAGTTTTCTTAACTAGTCTTGTGCGGTTGATCACTCAATAAGTCGTATGGTAATGTTTATAGTAGCTGATTGAATTAGACTTTATTAAAAGCATAATGAATAGTAAGCAATGAACTTCCATCGTCAATATTTAGAGTTAGAAATATTTGTGCTGAAATACTCAACTTTTGGGCCTCTTGGACTGTAATGCACAAATCCTGCCATCATCAACAACATGCTGAGAGGGAACCTAACCAGCACTTTCTTTACATCTTAGGAACTGATGTATTAAGTGAACGCACAGAAAATGGAAAGCCAAACAGAAACTATCAAGATGGATATTGGCCCCTCTCCGTCATTTCCAATGGAAAGAAAGGTTCACATCCAGATAAGCGGGAGACAGATCATCCAAACCAAACTGAGGAAGAGCTGTTCCTGCACCACTAAGAGACTGAAGAACGTAGTCATGGACTTCTTCCCTGTGTTACGATGGCTTCCCAAGTACCACTGCAGAGAACACATATGGGGGGACGTTATGTCCGGGGTGGTGATTGGGATCATTTTGGTACCCCAAGCCATAGCGTATTCTCTGCTAGCCGGTCTGAAGCCTATTTATAGCCTTTACACGTCATTCTTTGCCAACATAATTTATTTCCTGATGGGCACCTCTCGCCACGTGTCTGTTGGCATTTTCAGCCTGTTAAGTTTAATGGTAGGGCAAGTTGTGGACAGAGAGCTGCTCTTGGCAGGGTTTGACCTGAACGACGATGATGACGCCATCAGCAACAACTACGAATGGAACGGCAACAATTCTAATGTAACCGCCTTCAACCTTACCCTGGGGGGGTTGAGCGCTGAGTGTGGGAAAGACTGTTACGCTATTGGAGTCGCTACAGCCTTGACTTTTCTGGCTGGATTTTATCAGGTAAGTTGCTGCCTCGCCTATGGTGAGGATATGAAGCTCTTAGCGTGCCTTTGCAGGCTTTTGACTTCCACTGTAAGGAATTTTAACACGTCAGCTCAGTCAGATGGTCACTGAAATTTATCTTCCACCGAGAATCCTGGCAGCACGTTATAAAGTTTATTTTAAAAGTGTTTGACCAATAGGGTTTATTAGCTAGTTACTTGGAACACAATCCTCAGGCCCCAACATGGGTAACATTCCTATTGGCCGCCGTGCAAGTTCTACTTACACTGGGTGCAATTCTCCATTGCATTGTGGGCCCTTTATGCTGCCCTGTGGGCACAAAGAGACCTGGCACTCAGATCTGGTCATGGGGGAATTTTCAGGTACACAGACACAGGGTAACACCTCTAACAACTTCGCTTCACTGTCCCTCATGTGGCTGGGGCCACACAATCCCAGGCTTTGCCTGCATCAAGGTGAGGAGAGCTGCTCCCCTTCCCTTTCCCAGCCCCCTGCTCGGCACCCCACAATCCCCTGGCTATCGCTGCCCCAACTTTGCCCCCTCCCAGCAGCCCCAGCTGGCTAGGAGTTGGAGAGAGAGCCTCATCCTGCAGCAGTGGCTTCTGTCCCATGGCGCTGGACCCAGCCGGCGCCCTGCTCCAGACATTGCGTCCTGGTGCATTGGGTTGCAGTGCCACTCAGGTTTGGCCCAGCTGCCCCTTCATCATGACAGAGGGGCAGCCGGGCCAAACCTGAGTGGGACTGCAGCCCCATGCACCAGATCACAATGCCAGTTGGTTTGGGGACCCTCTCAAATGGGGGATCCAGGGCAAACTTCCCCCCCCATGGGCATGCACGGGGTGGGGAGTGATGCGGGGTGGGCGGTAACAGGCAACCCATCTAGACCTGTCCCGCAACTTACTGGTTTGGGAAACCCTGGGTTAGGGCACGAGCCTAGAACTTGGAAGACCTGGATTCAAATCCCTCCTCTGCCACAGACTTTGTGTGTGTGGCCTTGGTCAAGTCACTTAGGCCTGGTCTATACTGGGAGGGGGGATCAATCTAATTTACACAACTTCAGCTACGTAAATAGCGTAGCTGAAGTCAACGTACTTAGATCGACTTACCGTGGTGTCTTCACTCCCGCTCCCCCGTCGACTCCGCCTCCGCCTCTCGCGGCGCTGGAGTACAGGAGTCGATGGGAGAGCGCCTGGGGGTCGATTTATCGCGTCTAGACTAGATACGATAAATCGACCCCCCCACTGAATCGATCGCTGCCCGCCGATCTGGCTGGCAGTGAAGACATACCCTTAGTCCCTCTGTGTCTCAGTCCTCCATCTGCAAAATGAGGTTAACACCATTACCTCGGTGGCCTGCTGAAGATAAATGCACTGAAGACTGTGAGGTTCTCAGCTGCTATGCTGATGGGCTATGGATAGAAAGTTCTCAGGTGCCCAGTGCAGGTCACCTGCAAGGGCCTTGATTTGCCGAGGAAAGATATTCAGCACTTTCTGCATGTCAGTCTTCTTTACTGCATCTCAAAATGGCCACCCAAGCCCTGAGGCACCCAAAGTCACTACTGTCTGCTGAATATGTAAGGCACGGTGCCCAGGTTGTAAAGCAATCCCACTTCAGACTGCAACAGGCCTGAACTCAAGAAATGAGCTTGTTAGTTAAAAAACAAAAAAGGAGCCATGTTTTCCCTTATTGCTGAAGCAGTAGTCTCCATTGTCCTCACTGGGAGTTCTGCTGACAAAGGGATGGCAAGGAGGGCCCCACGCTTTTCTACTCCCATTAGCGGAGCTGAGTTATCAGCTCTGAGTACAATGAAAGCGCTCTGGCCTAAATTCTCCACTGACTTACACCGGCATCAACGCAGTCAGGTGGCAGATCACATCAGTGTGGAGTTAATTTGAATTGATGCTGGGGTACCCGTTCCAGTTAGTCCACTTCAAAAACCTGCTCATTTATCTCTAGAGCTCGTGGTGTAGCAAACCAAATCCCTCAATTGTAAAAGCAGGCCTGAACTAACAAGTTACCAGCTCTTTTAAGAATTACAACTTTCAAGGATTTCTCCGCAACTGATGCTTGCTCCGTTTTTTCCAGCACCCTTTAGTTCTCACCCTCTTGCTTTTCTTTCAGGTTCTGATGGGAGTCTTTCGTCTAGGCTTTGTCTCTATGTATCTTTCAGAGTCTGTGCTGGATGGATTTGCAACTGGTGCTTCTTTAACCATTTTAACAGCCCAAGTTAAGTACCTTATTGGAATAAAAATCCCACGCAGCCAAGGGCACGGGATCCTCTTAACGACCTGGATTAATATTTTTCGAAACATTTCTCAGGCGAACCAGTGCGATGTAATCACGAGCGGGGTTTGCATTGCTGTGCTAGTTGCCGCGAAAGAACTGGGAGATCGGTACAAGCAGAAGCTGAAAATCCCACTGCCCACAGAGCTGGTGGTTATTGTTGTGGCTACGCTGGTTTCACACTACGGGAAGCTGAATGAAGTTTACGCATCCAGTGTTTCGGGGGCAATTCCAACTGGATTTATTCCCCCTCAGCTGCCAAATTTTAACATGATGCATCGCGTGGCTCTAGATGCTGTTCCCCTGGCCATAGTTGGCTTTGCATTTACAATCTCCCTCTCAGAAATGTTCGCCAAGAAATATGCCTACACTGTCAGAGCCAATCAGGAAATGTTTGCCATAGGATTCTGTAACATTATCCCATCCTTTTTCCATTGTTTCGCAACCAGTGCAGCTCTTGCAAAAACGCTTGTGAAGTCTTCTACGGGCTGCCAGACGCAGGTCTCTAGTGTTATCAGCGCAGTGGTAGTGCTGTTGGTGCTGCTCTTCCTCGCGCCGCTGTTTTATTCTTTGCAAAAATGTGTTTTGGCTTGCATCATAATAGTCAGTCTCCGAGGAGCCCTTCGGAAGTTTCGAGACGTGCCCCAGCGATATCACGTGAACAAGGTGGACACTCTGGTCTGGTGCGTTACTGCGTTCTCATCTGCCCTGATCAGCACAGAAATGGGGCTTTTGATTGGGGTCCTCTTTTCCATGCTGTGCATCGTTGTTCGTACGCAGCGACCCCGTACTGCCCTGCTGGGTCAGATCCAGAACACTGCCTTCTATGAAGACGACTGGGAATATGAAAATCTCTGTCCTGTTCCAAATGCCAAAATATTTCGTTTTGAGGCACCACTTTACTATGCAAATAAAGACTTTTTTCTGAAGTCTCTCTACAGAATGACTGGGTTAGATCCTACTCTGGAAGCTGCTAAAAGGAAAAAGAATGAGAAGAAGCAAAAAGAGCATTTGAAAGAGGGAAACAGAGGCACAATTGTTAAGGGATCGGATCAGGCAGATACAGCTTTACGCCTGGTCCCTAAACAAGTAGATTTCCAGACCATCATCATAGACTGTTCCTCAGTCACTTTTCTGGACACAGCTGGTATAATCACATTAAAGGAAATACGGAAAGATTACAACGAGCTAAAAATCACTGTTCTTCTGGCTTGCTGCAACCCCTCAGTGATTGACTCTCTGAAAAGAGGGGACTTCTTTGGGAAGGACTGCAAAAAGATGCACGAATTGCTGTTCTATAGCATTCACGGTGCTGTGCAGTTTGCCAGAGACAGAAAGCCTTTGGCAGATGGCTCGGCTGTTTAGTTTCAAAGGCCCATGTGTTTCCCTCTGCTGTGCAGCACAGGGTGCAGTCACTTAGAAGTCGGCAGACACCTCACTTGCTACGCAGGAGCCATCTGCCTACAGGACATTCTCCCATGAGAAGGTGTGCAGTGCTGGACCGCCGCATCACGTCTGCAGACGGGGCAAACAGGGGTGTGGTCAAGGACCAGATGGGAAGAGTGAGGAGTGCACCCAGTTACCACCTGAACTGCCACTTCAAAATGCAGATGTTGGACTGTAAAACAGCTTGTGAGTTACTTCTCCCTTGTACTGTAGTAACTTACACGCATCAAACTTATGCACCACCGGTCTGGTGTATCTGCAAGTCTGTCTAGTGCCTGAGCAGAAAAGGCTAGCTGTCTCCCTTGAATGTGCTGGTTTATGCGTACAGGAGAGCAGTCTCCAAGAAACCACTTGTGGTCTGGTTCCTTGGCCACACCACAGGGCTATCTTTTAAACTCTGGCCTGTAAGGCCTTTTCCCTTATCATATCACTACTACAGGCATGCTCTTGTTTCAACGGGCTTTCAGACAACCCCGCTGTTTGCTACACACTTCTTAGGAGCATCAGCTGGGCTGATGTAGCACCTCCTTCCCACATGCCCATGAGCCATAACAAACGTGTTCCCCTCAGTTTCATTATTCCTTAGCAAAACCTCCCTCAAAGCTACCATGGAATCATCCATATTAAAAAGAGCCTATTAAGGGGATATTTCTGCTCTTAAAGATGCAGGAAAAAGTGTGACCATTAAACTCAGATTTGCTGTAGCTAGTGAAATTACTTAAAGCGATTTAAGAAAAGGGAAGTGCTTTCATTAGAAATCTTATAGCTACACTAGTTTAACTGAGAGGCAAATCTGACTTTCTGGAATTTAGCTATCTCAAGCTTAAACCCTAGAATTCAGGCCAAGCACATCATCTTTGTAATGTAACCGTCAGACTGGGTGCAGGGCAGTGGGGAGAAATGGGAGTGAAAGAGACAGAGGAGGGGAAAAGATGCAAGAAGGGAAGCCTGAGATAGGGATGGGAAGGGGAGAAACGGGCTGGTTCTGAACTGGGTCTGAATCTGGAGTAACTCCATTGAAGTTTTACGCTGGTGTAACCGGGGTCAGAATGTGGCCTAATGACTGAAGCAGAACTTTTTTAAACCATTCATTTCATTATGTTGTCAGAGTACCCCCGCTATTTGTATACATTTCAGGCCATAACATTAATTTGTAACTCTGTGGTTTCTAACGACAGCTAATAGGCTGTTATGCAGAGTCGGGATATGTTATTTTTATATTAATTTCTATGACTATTTATTCCCCGTAATATCAAATGGCAATTTAAAAGACAGCACACTGCAAATCAGATGCCTTGGTAGCTATCACACTATTTGTGCAGTATCTGTACAAAAATATACGTAAAATAGGGCTAGACCAAAAGTCAGTTTAACAGACGGCGCTGAATTGTCGCCAGAAGTTCTGACACTTGGCTTTGGCAGCGTGGCTTCTCCAATGCTCAGGCTGAAGAGCTAGCCAAGGCCCAGTTTCGGCTCATTCAGCAGCTGCTTCTCCCTCGTCTCGTGTCCCATCCCACAGGCCAGGCGTTGGGCAGTATAAGGAATCTCAGCGTCGGGTCCTGGATGCTTTTTTCCTTTCTCGTTTTGGCCATTTTGTGTGACCCTCCACCCCCATTTCAATGGCAGAACCTTCCCCTTTCCCAGTAGCTCTCACTGTCTTTCCTCTCCCATCCTTTTCCCTAGGGTTAGACGCTCCTTCCATCCATGAGTGAAATGTGGGGAAAATGCAGGTTTGAGGACTACTTACAGGGCTACATTTAGTCTGACTCCATTGAAGCCAATAGAGAAGCCCTTAAACATACTCAGTCCTATAACTGCTCTGTAGTCTCTAAAGAGACTACTGGTCTCATTCTACTCTTAAAGCGAGCCCTTTGCCACGATACACAACATTTTGTTTAAGAGCACTACACAGCAGTACCAAGCAATTTATTTCCACTCTCTAGATCAAGAAGTGCAAGGATATTCGAAGCAAAGGTCTCCAGATTTTCCAATATCCCCTTCCCTATTTAGGAACACCAAAACAAATAATCCTTTCATAAAGGAAGGGCAACTCATTTCCAAATAGAGATATTCTGGTGATTGACTCTATCTGAAGTGAGGGCAACACTGGGATGGGGTGTATAAATCCCACACTGAGGAGGGAGGTGCCAGAGAGGCTCTGGGGACAGGACGAGCCCTGCCTCTCTGGCCTTGTCAATCATGTATAAAAGGGAGAAAATGGCAGTCAACTGAGGGGGGAGGAGCAAGACTGCCCTAAGCAGAAGACTACTGGAGCCACTTGGGGAATGCCCATCCAGGAGATCTCTACCCCCACCCTGGGGGGAGTGCAGTGAACTCCCAGGGAGAGACTTAAGAAGGCCTGCAAGGGGTAGGACCCTTGGTAAGAAGTAAGGAATTGGGGCCTGTGCGGGAGCCACCCAGTGCAAGTAACTGGGTGTGGTCAGGTTCTCTCACCCTCTGGAGGAAAAACTTGTGGGGGCTCCTTTATAAACACATTTTTAATGAGGATTAGTAGTCAGGTACTGAAATTCCCCTGCTCGCCTTATTTATTCAAAAACACATGTGATGTCTCGGTGCTATTATCACAACACATGATGTCAACAGTAACAAAATAATTCTGGAAAAGCCGGCCTGACTGATGTCCCTGTTAAGAGATCAGAACTGACCAACCATTTTTAGTATTCGTGTTTTTCTGCAGGAAAGTCAATTTAACGTGCAACGACATCATCCATTAAAGAGCTGGTGTATCAAGACCACAGCTTATCATCTTCTCATTGTTACCTTGTGTTCTCCTGAAATGTTTGTTGTAGCCACTTAGTATGTACGCTTTGCTGGTCAGGGGCCAGCTTTGTCAGATGTCTATACAGGGCCTAGCACAAAGCGACTGGGGCCAGTACACTTCGCTGTAAATGATACAGCAGGCTACAATTGGGAGTTAACAGCAACGGGGGAAGAAACGAGCAAGCTGTTTAACAAGCTAGTCTTATTCACTCTGTTGGTTTGAGCCCCAGAGCTAGAACCTTGAGAAGAAATACAGCTTAGCTTTCCCCTAATGTTATGAGACTAATCTGGTTTCCGAAAGAAGGCAGGCAATTGGGGAACAAAATTAAGACTTATCCTTACCTGAAAAAAAAAGTTAGAGTTCTAGCCCATGCCCCCCAAATCCCCCAAAAGAGGGAGAAGGGAAGAGAAGCTGATCTGTCAATCTTTTTTTAACAAAGCATGCTGGGAAGGGGTGCAGTCTGGTGGCTCTTTGCAAGGTAGGCTCTTCAGGTTGTTTAGTATTTATCAGAGCAGCATCCCAGTAGAAGAAGGAGAGCTGCATGAAGATGCGGGATACGGGGAGAACAGGTTGCTTTTTTTCTCTCTGATAAAAGTTGTTTTAACAACCAGAAAAGACTTCAGGAACCATTTGCGTTTTGAATGTTAGTTCTGGGAACTGGCTTATATGTAAGTTACAGTGTTTGTGGTTGTAAATGACTTTCTATGATTAAAAACTGCTTTATTTCTGTTCACTTACTGTCAGGGGTCAGGGCAGGTGTCACGGAGTGTGGGGGGACACAAGGCCCTGCACCCCCGGCTTCCGGCGATTCACCATGACTCTCAGCCAGCCAGTAAAGTAGATGGTTTATTTAGACGACAAGAATACAGTCCAAGACAGGTCTTGCAGGCACAGACAACAGGATCCCCCTCGGTTAGGTCCATCTTGGGCTCCCAGGGCGCCCCAGCCACCTTGGGAGGTCAGAGCCCCATCTGCCTCCCAGCCATCTCACCAGCCAGCTTCTGAAAACTCTCCCTTCAGCCTTTGTCCAGCTTCCTAGGCAAAGGTGTCACCTGGCCTGTAACCCCTTCCTGGGTTCTCATGTTACATGCTCAGGTATTCTCCATTGGTCAGTCTCCCATCCCCCAATGCAGACTATCCTAGCCACACTCCCCTGTCAGCATTTAAAGACCACAGTAAGAACAGTCCCAGTTCGTCACAGCAGGGTATACTACCACAGTGTGTGGCTGGTGAAGGGCTTTTAATTCCTCTGTGGTTTCATACTATTCTCAACGACTTGGGGTTTGGTAAATACTAGAATAAGATACTTAATATGAGACTCTCTCTTTTCTTGTGTAGCTGGCATACAATTTTTGTCAAGCATGGTGTCTTTGACATGGACTATATATTTAACAAACTACAGGTAGCAAGGGAGGAGCTCCCAACCTCGAAGGGGAAAGAAAACTACATTAGTTCAGCCTGGAAACAAAAAAGCAGCCCTTACATACAGTGTGGGGAAAGACAGGAAATGGTTACAGCTGCGGGCTGGAAGCAAGGGATGTTTTCAAACAGCCCCTGATTAGTGATGTCTCAGAACTGACAGTTTTTCCCACCAAGAGAAACTTTTTAGCTCTACATCACCGCTTAGTCATGACTGGGATTTAAAGGCACAGCCTAGCCATAAGGGTTCACAGCTGAATACAGTAATTCCCCTATGTCTGTTTCTCATGCACTCCCAGGTCTCTCACATCACAGAGGCATTTCCATTTCTTCTAGGGAAGAGCAACCCTACCAAGTGTACATAGGAACTGTGACAGACCCCAGACCAGTGGGGTACAGGAGTCTGGTAGAGGGAAAATTTACTGGTCACTGGATGAGTAGTTTTTCTGTTCCCTGAGTGACCAGAGCAGGGGCTGCACTAGAGTAATCAGGAACCTGCTAGAACCAGTTAAGGCAGGCAGGCTAATTAGGACACCTGGAGCCAATTAAGAAGAAGCTGCTAGAATCAATTAAGGCAGGCTAATCAGGGCACCTGGGTTTTAAAAAAGAGCTCACTTCAGTTTGTGGTGTGTGTCAGAAGCTGGGAGCAAGAAGTGCAAAGAGCTGAGAGTGAGTGCTGCTGCTGGAGGACTGAGGAGCACAAGCGTGATCAGACACCAGGAGGAAGGTCCTGTGGTGAGAATAAGGAAGGTGTTTGGAGGAGGCCATGGGGAAGTAGCCCAAGGAGTTGTAGCTGTCATGCAGCTGTTACAGGAGGCACTATAGACAGCTGCAGTCCACAGGGCCCTGGGCTGGAACCCGGAGTAGAGGGCGGGCCTGGGTTCCCCCCAAACCTCCCAATTGACCTGGACTGTGGGTTCTCCCAGAGGAGAAGGTCTCTGGGCTGTTCCCCAACCCGCACGGTGAATCTCTTAGGCAAGAAAATCTGCCAATAAGCGCAGGAACCACCAAGATAAAGGAGGAACTTTGTCACAGAATGTACAACTTACCTAAAATACACAGGTTGAGGTATTTAAAGAGCTGAAGTCAGAGGTATTAACCGGTCTTTTTGGACAATGTGCATGAGTCAAAGCAACTCTGAGCTCCTAGAGCAGGAAACTTGATTTTTTTCCCCCCTAACACATTCCATTGTTAATTGTCGAGTATCAGAAATGTTCACTCACCCAACGGTAATGAGTTCTAGTAACCAGTGAATTCGAACTTGTTGAATGCCGCCATGCGGTACCGAAGACACATAGGCAAGGTTCAGCTCTTGGTCTTTACTGAGGTCAAATAAATCCGCTCTGCTGTGAGGTAGAGGAGGACTGGAGGTGGGAAAAACAATAGGTCACAGAACAGGTCAATGCCAGAGCCAGGAATAAAACCCAGGCCTCTTGAGTCCCAATCCAGGGTCCTGTCCATGGGGATACACTGCTTTTGCTGGAGTAGTAAGTGCAGCTCAGCAAAGTGGAGTGAGGAAATTGAAACATGACTTGGGTTTATATAGCATCAGAGTACAGGACCGTGAATCATTCCGTGAGTAGCAGGGCAGGAAGATTTTGTCTGGGGTTACTTAAACTCAACAAACACGCATAAGGAAAATTGGCAACGAGATAATTCCCTGGGAGTAATTGACTGTTCTAAGCATAGCGTCAGCCTGCCTGACTCCCACCTCTGCTGAAGCCAACCAAAATCTTCCATAAGTCATGTAGGGGCTTGGTCTGTCCATTGACCAACCAAGTTGGATCAGGCCTCAAGAAAGCACATGCTGCTGTGGACGTTCTGCCATACAAGTCTCTCAGTGCATGCACTCCACTGCCACACTGTGCCTCGCCCCTGGGCACCTGTCACAGGGGTGTTTGCCATAGGAGTGAGCAGGCTGAGAAACCCTGAGCCATATTTAACTCTTCGTTGATGCACAGTAACACTCATGTTAATACCGACTCTCTGGGGCCCACTTATTCCATTGAAACTAACAACAGGGGGCTGGCTCCGTGCACCCTTTGCCCCACTTTTGAACCCACACAGAATAGCTACCATGTGGAGGGAAAGTGTTTTCTCTAACAGTTAGAATATGCTCTGAGTTTGCTGGGTGAAGTGCTAAATGTTGGGGCAACAGTAGGGGACTGGACACAGTGACCCAGGAGGGCCTTTCCAGTCCTGTGTTCCTAAATACAGATCTGCTGTGAATGCCCTAGTTCTCTTTGTTTTTACAGAAAAGAAACAACATGCTAAATCACTGCAAGACTTGGGTAAAATATATCCTGATACACTTTGTACTTTTTATATACATATGAAACTTAATAGAACTGTATATTGTGCTGGTTTATTTTGTTATGGGAGCATAGCTTAATTATAAAGAACCTATTGCAATGCATGCTAACTCATTGTGGGTAGTTGTCGCCGTCTAGCGGCTGGACCAGATACAGGTTTGAATCTGCTACTGCTTCCAAGCCAACGATCCTAGTGCTTTAGCTCAGTGGTTCTCAACCAGAGGTCTGTGGCCCCCTGGCGGTCCGCAAATCCTTTCAGGGGGGCCACGGAGCCCCACCGCTGAAACTCCGAGCTCTGGTGCTGCCCCCCCGCTGCGGGGCTGAAGCCGGGAGCAGTGCGGGGCTGAAATCCCGAGCTCCCCTTCCCCCCCGAAGCCGGGAGCAGCGTGGGGCTGAAACCCCAAGCTCCCCTCTTCCCCCTGCTGAAGCCGGGAGCAATGTGGGGCTGAATCCCCGAGCTCCTCTCCCTTCCTCCCCCAACCCCGAAGTCAGAGTGGCAGGGAGCTGAAACCCAAGCTCCCCCCCACCTCTACGCTGAAGCCAGGAACGGCAGGCTGAAGCCCTGACACAGGCAGGTGGGTGGCCTGCAAGATAGGTCAGGAGGTGAAGGTGGTGCTCCCTCCCTGGAACCTGCTATGCGGAGCTGGTCTAAGCCCTGCCGGCCCTTGCCCTCCTC